CCCCCCAAAAGGCTCATTAAACCAGACTTCTAGATGTCTGTTCTTGTCTCAATAAAGTCTTTCTAGCCAGCAGCACCAATAGTCATACAAAATGTCCTATAAAAATGAATGCATAGGCACTAGAACGGTTTTTACTGTGGTTGTAAAAGCTCAGGAGCAAACCTTGAGCTGTATAATRGTGCACTCGTCAAAACCATGAAGTGATATGAGCCACTCTGAGGCTGCCAAAGACAGTGTTTGATGATTATTTCTACATTACGTTCGTGGAATAAAAGTWGACACAGCAACCRTTAAATGAGCTGGTTCGAAAATGTTTTGATATAAAAACTTGTTAAATAAAGACTTGTTCTCCACGTTGCCAATTAATATGAAGAGGTGAYCACAGATACAGCATTTGCTCCTTTTAGCTTCTCCAAATAAGTATTAAGTTGGTTACCTTTTATGAATTTGACAGAAAATTGTTATTCCACATATGTATACTAACGATGTCCGTTAAATGTCCATTTTAAATGTAATTTCATTGTGCTCTGTACAATGACAAGAAAGACATCATCAAATCAAATCAAATCAGATGTTTTATTGTTTGGGTATTAAATGATAATTGGTTCATTAATGCAAACCAACAGTAGGCTRCAAAATAAGCTGAATGTGTTTCAGATCGATTGGTCGAAACAGCAAAGTCCACATTGCACTGTTGAAAAGTCTTTTTCATCACATTTATTTTCAAATAATATTAGAAACACATAATTTTTATAATTAGTTTTTTTGTCAAACAGAGTTGTGGTCATATTCAATGGATGGGATAAAAATGCATAAATGCGACTTCAAAATAATAATAGGTTAATGATTTTTATGATAAATGATGTGCACAAATCTTTTTAAAACAAACGACCTTTGTTAAATGAAATAGATTTTAAGGGTGATGAGTCTGTTTAGATAATAATCTGCATCCATCATTATTAACCATCTATGAATCCTCAAAAATCTTGGTTTGCAGATGGTGATGGTTTAATTGAATATGATCTTATTACACAACATAACAGGACATGGGTGAAGTATGAAAATATTTTCAAATATTAAAAAACACCAAATGAGGAGGACAGGTAATTAAGGTTACAATGTGCAGGAAAGTTACAATAACTATTAGGTCTATTAAAGGTAGTCATCTCTTTATTATTTTTATTTTTTTACCTTTTTACATCGCCATGTTTTGGCTATTTTCAACATTTCACACAGTTTACATCTCAACTTGACAATAATGTCAACAAACTTTTCATTGGTTCGCTCTTTAAGAAACCCGGAAGTGATTTCCTGTGTTTACGGCAGCTCGTGCGTGTTCCAAACTGGCAGCTGAGGACGCTCCGTGCCATGATATCCAGCCGAGTTCTCCTGACTGTCCGAAGCAGTGTGAGGTGTTGGAGACAACGGGCTGTCCTCAAAGCGGCTCTAGGAGCCGCGASCGTCCGCAGTTGGCGCAGCTACTCCGCTCCAGCTCGTCGCGGTGCCCCGGACATGGAGGAGCTACTGGCCAGGGTCGTCGTCCCGTTACCTTCGTACGAAACGCGGGATAAATCTCCACCTCCTCCGGAGTCGTTTAGCCTGGAGTTTGTGCATTACTACAGAAGTCTCGAGAAGGAAGACAAAATCGATATCCTGACCAAGCTGTCCCAAGAATACGGGGTGGATCACAAAACGGTTTCGGAGCTCTCYGCTAGGCTGTTGGACATTCAGCTGCGGGACCTGGCGACTGTTCTGCAGGCTGAGGACAGGCTCCGGTACAGTTTGACGCCACGTTATAAGCAGTTCTTCAGTCATATAAGCAGGGTCGAAGGTGGTGTGAAGTTTCTGGTGGACATCCGCGCTGATGTGCTTGAGATGATGGCACTCAAATCAAGTGAAAGCCCGCACATCAGGGTAATAATAATACGTTTGTTTTCTTTATCTACGGGTGCCTGCGTGGCTCAAACCTCGTCATACGCGCTTATATCAACAGTGACTGAGTACAGCTGCTTGGATAACCTTTCCTGCTCTCCTCCTGTCACGAGTCTAGCTCTGACCTTTACCCCAGATTACACTTCTAGTATTTATATTTCTGTTACAGTTTACTTTAAATTACCCATCTTAAAAGAACCATATATTAAAAGGCAATGCAATAATATCTGTTTAATTTAAATCAATGATAGAATGCACATTACCTATCACCTTTTGTGACAAAGTTTTTAAATCAAGATCATCTTATGTTGAAACAAGTTATTTGGTTGAACTTTAAAAATGAGATTCTGCATAATTTTGCATGATCTTTTAGTATGTGTAAAAGTCTCAAACACACATTTTAGCTCTATCTGTAAAATTCACAGTTATGGGCATTTTTTTCACAGGCCAAATCTATAGACATCCATCATGAATCGGATTGCCTCTAAAAGTTAAACTTTCTAAGAGTTTCACTAAAATTACACAAACCATCACTTTGTCATRACTAGTGAGAAATGTTGTAAACACAAATTCCAAAGTTTGAAGTAAACATGTTGTATAATATATATTTATATTGCATTTGGAGTTTTTGACTATGCTGAGCTATTATCACATYAAATTTTAGCTGATTATTTGTAAAAAGTTAGAGCCATTGGCTGTGTCCAAAACGACAGGCCGGGTCCTCCGGAGGACCC